AATGGTTTACCACGTAACTCGAATACCACTCCTGAAATAATAACACCTCTAAATTCTACCACTGATACCATCTTTTCAGCATACATAATTTAGAAGGCGAAACGATTCATTTATCATCAGATATACTCACACTGGACAATCTGAAGTGAAATATTATCACAAAGAAGAATCAAACAAGAAGTAATTTTTACGTTAAAGAAATCAAAAGCTCACTTCTCTCTCTTCTCAATGCTCGTTTCATTCGCAAATGTGTCGGTGATGTTTCGTCATCATCCACATCTCTACAACTCAAACGATCCATTAAAAATTGAAATACAAACTGAAAATCGGCCGTTCCAATTCAATTGATGATCTCAAACAATGCAAACATAAGTGAACAGAAGAAAAAATAAACGAACAAGAAAACACTATCATACCGTCGAGTTCCTCTTGTTGGCTGTGCATTGGTTTGGATTTCACCCGTTCGAATACCACTCAACAAATGACCCAACCGCGTTCGTGCAAATTTCATGTCCGGTGATTCAGGTGGTCTTGAATCGCTGAACGGTGCCAATGAAGAATTTGGTGTCGGGCTCATCGATGTCTCCACAACGCTAGTATCAGATGAGGGCATTGATTGCGAGGGGGGTGTCTAAAAATAATATCACACACACACTTCAGAGGAAAGAACGCCAATATTAAAATAAACCGTAATTTTGCATCTCAGGTCAGCCAAATCTTCAGCTTGTTTGATTATTCTCCCTTATAATGGTGTCGCGCATGCAATCACCACTGAAACTTGCAATAAATAAGCAAAGCTTGATTACCATTTTGATATCTGCTTTAGTGTCCTCCTCTCGTCCTTCATCGTTAATCGATGGGTGGTTTGAAGTCACAGCTGGAGGATTATTCGTCAGAGATGAATCCGCCGAGAGTGGGGTCAAGAACTCTTCAACTAATTGTGCTGTTGAGGCCATTGGTCTAGGAGTTGGAATTTTTTTCCTTGACTGCAAAAAAAAAACGAACTTAACAAAACCATACTAAAGAAAACTATGGAAATGTTGCACAAGCACACTTAAAGATGACTAAAACTGTTACAGAAAGTGACTATTTATGGGCACTTTGTAAAGCTCTAATATATGTGGCAATAAATGCACGGGGCATTTTTGCCTAACTCGCTCGAATGAATCCTGCATTTAGTTCAGGCATGATTACTAAACTACAGGATCGCCCAGACTTGTTCTTTAGCTTAAACTTATTAGGGGCTAAACTACAACTTTGTATTTTAGCCTCTGATAAGCTACAACCATATGAGATTCACACGTTGCACTATTGATGTGCACTGTTCAAAGTGGATAGGTAATACAGCATAACGTCTCAGAAATCATCTCATCGAGAAAAACATATTATTGAAAGCGCGAGGAAAATGCTGAGAGTTTGTTTGATTAAGATTGAGAATTTTAAAGATACAACACAGAAGAATATCCCATATCTCCTGGACTTTGATTAGTTTCAATTGATCACACTGAATGCGATCAGCAAATCCGGAAAACACCAAACGATTTCAAAAACCAAAATTCACCCGCTAAATGCTTCAATTTGTCTTTTGAACGCATCGCCACAAAATTGGCACATTCATTTACGATTCAACACGATTTGATCGCATCAGCAAGAGATGTCATCTAATATTTGCCTATCTGAATATCTGACTGCACGTTCGTTCTTACGAAAGAAAAGTCCCACAGCAGTTCAGTGGGCACATTTCCCCATTTGATGGGGAGGAGGCCCTGTGACGATTGCAGATGAATTATCTTCCCTGTGGATGCGGGTAAAACTTCCGTTTTGCGAATGCATCTGCGGAGGGAGGATTCCATGAATGGGATACCCGTGCGGAGCGAGGGATTTTGACGTCCTCGCGAGCACTCCGTACGCTTTGTTCGTATAATTGTTGGGGAATATAATTTCTTGAAGCGTTTTTGTGATCATGAGAACAGAGACCATTTCTAGCCGCGGATTCGGATTTTTCATTTGAAGAGGACGACAAGTCATCGTAAGAGAACAACGAACCTAAGTACTGTATCATCGCGACCTACAACTTGGAACAGTCAGTGCAGTTGAATGAATTAATGTGTGGTAGAATGCGCAGGGAAGAGACATGTGTAAGAGGAAACCTGAGAAGTACCTCCGAGCCTTAGTAACTACGGTAACTAGCCACGCCCACAAACTACGGTAGTTAGCCACGCTCGCACTTGAAGAAAACGTTATGAATCGAGTAAAGACACGAACAGTTGAAAAATCAGAAACGGTCACGCA